ACAAGATAAGTTTTTGGAAGAGTTTCTGGGAGGACAGCTGCCTACAAAGGAATTACGTGCTCAAATCAGAGCTTCTTTTAATAAGATAAAGTAATTCAAGCTCATTAATCTGGTGAGTAGAAATGATTAAACTGAAAATAGGACAATATTAATATTTTCTCCCCAAATAGCAAAAAACCATGAATTTCAACGTCAAACTCTTTAAAAAAAATTTGTGTCAAACTCTTTTTAAAAGCAATCATGGATTTACTTCTTTGTTTGCTAATTTGGGTGGGAAATGGGATGCTCTTTCTCAATGTGTTCTGCTTTAAAATAGGCTAGTTACTTAGACATTCTCACACAGTGGTATATGTTCTTAAAAAACCACTTTTAACCAAAACAGGAAGCAATCTTTACCATTGAAAATGCAGCTAAAAAAGTGATTACCTCCATCAGCAGAATCAAAGACCATCCTTCAAAAAGCATGGCATGTCTTAGGAGGGGGCACACGGGCAACCCAGTGTCCTCATGGTTTCCATTGCTTTTATTACATTATGCAGTGCCACTTTAATTAAGCCATCAAATCAAATTATCAGATCAAGTGGTTTTGATTCCACTGTGATTTGAACAGGTTTCGTTAAATTAATAAACCATATGTTTCATGTTGTTGGAAGGAAAGTTATTTTTCCTCCATTCATTGTTCCAAAAGTCTTCACAATAGACAGTATTTAGTACTAAATCGCCAAATGCTCTTCCATGTGCCCGGGATGTGTTGCAGAATAACTGAAATGACAGCCCATTAAATCCTAAAGTCTGTCCAAGTTATTTACCGACAAAGGGCAGAGTGGCAAATTGGATGTCCCTAGAACAATCCACCGAGCCTAAATATTATTTCCATTTACTGGAACTGAAGCTTTATATTTTTTATGGATGACATCCATTATAAGTCTTTCTGTAGCAACAATACAGTATTAAGATGACTTTTCCCCCCTTTCCTTTGGTGTTGTACATGACCATGCGTCTGGTGCTGGCACTGAAAGGCTTGATTCTGTTTTCTCTATTCCAGTATGTCCAATCATCCTGACAGAAGGGCAAGATGGGGGCACATTAACTCAGGCATTCCTCACTGTGCAGCTCAATGAACACCAGTTAATGATCATGGCCAAGGGAACAAGGGAGGTGTGGGGCTGTAATCAGTCCAGGGAGGCTCTCCTTACACGTCTGCTGTGAAAGATGACCAGGGGTTAAGGTGAATTGGTAAGTGGTTGGTTACTGAGTTAATAAATATATAACTGGTCCTAAGGTCTTGAGGTGGAATGGAGAAGTAGAACAAACCGATGCTTCATGGTCATGGTCATCACCATCTTTAAGACAGAAAAAATTTACCTTAAACTGAGACTTTGGTTGAGTTTCTCCACCTGACTATGAGCCATCCCCTAGAGCACTGTAGAGTCTGGTCTGCTGCCTGTTTTTGTAAATAAGGTGTTTTTGGAAGATAGTTTTCTGCACGTATTCATTCGTGTATTATATGTCCATGACTGCCTTCATGCCAGAGTGGTAGAGCTGAGTGAGTAGTTCCCAAAGGAGACTGAGTACCGAGGCGCCTGGGTGGCTCAGTCCTTAAGCGTCTGCCTTTGGCTCGGGTCATGATCCCAGGGTCCTGGGATGGAGCCCCGCAGCGGGCTCCCTGCACAGCGGGAAGCCTGCTTCTTCCCCCTCTCCCACTCCCCCTGCTTGTGTTCCCTCTCTCGCTGTGTCTCTATCAAATAAATAAATAAAATCTTAGGAAAAAAGGGGCATATATTGTATGATTCCATTTATACGGAATATCTAGAAAAGGCTAATCCAGAGACCCAAAAAGTTGCCTAGGGCCAGGAAAGCAGGAGGGATGGGAGAAAGAAAGGAAGGAAGGAGGAGTGAGTGATTGTTAATGGGCGTGGACTCCTTCGCGGGGCGGTAAAACGGTCCTGGAAGTTTGTGAACGCACAACTTTGTGAAGAGTCAATTCCACTGAAGGACACACTTGAAAGAAAAATGAACTTTACTGAGTAGGAATGAAATCTCGATAAAGCCATTATTAAAGAAACAACAAACAGGAATGCTAGTGCACGATAAAAAGGGACGAGCTACTGACAGATGCTACAACAGGGATGGATCTCAAAATCCTAACGTCATGTGGCAAATACAAGCAGATTAGAGACTATCTGCTATTGAGAATAGGAGAAAGAATTGAGGGAACTTTCTGGGGTGATGAAAATGTTCTGAAACGGGATTATATAAACAGAACTGTTATTCTAAATTTATTAAAAATGATTGAAGTGTACATTTATAATAGTTGTATTCTAGGATACGTACGTTTTGCCGTAAGACAACCAGGAAACCCTGACCGACTGCTGGCAGAAGGAGAGCCCGGTACATACAGTCCCTCTGGGGAGCTGCTGAGCAGTATCCAACCAAATCAGAAGATGAATGCGCACTCCAGGCTGTCGCCACTGGACCCGCGGTGTCACACCCAATAGAGATGTGTCCAGATGCTCATCAAAAAGCACGGTCAAGGATTCTCATCATCGCCAAAATGTGGAAACCATGCATACGTTCACGGATAGCAAAATGGATGAATAAATTCAGGTGGAGCCTCACAATGACATTCAGCAGTAAGAACAAACCACATCTACAGGCAACAGCATAGATGACCCTCAGAACCAGTGTAGAGTGAAAAAAGCAGGACACAAAAAAGGACAGAGGGGATAATTCTATTTCTATGAAATTCAACAACAGGCAAAGCTAATTCATGCTTGAGGTTACCCTTGGGAATGGACTGTTCCTAGGAAGAAGGAGCTAGAGGTGCTCCTGGGAAGCTGGTGAGGTTAGTCTCTTGACCTGGGAGTTTGCTGTTCAAGTCTATGGGGGGGTGGGACGCATCAGGGGGTACATGTCCACTTTCCCATACGTTATACTCCAGTAACACGCTTAAGACACAAATAGGACTGTACCTCCACCCTTCTCTGCTTCTAAAAAAGATCACAAAACATTTCAATAGTCACACATTTTAGGATTCAGATTCAGATTTAGGATTACATACACACACCATGATAACTGCAACAAAACCTTGTACCATAAAGAACTAACTCCTCTATTTAAGGAAGGGTCCATGGCTCAGCTCAAATTCAGAGAAAGCCCATCCAGTAGAAGATCTTGCCCCCCTTTGACAATTTAATGCGACAGAAGCCATTTTCTTCTCTAACTTTTTCGGGTAGTAAGAGCCATGCACTCCCTCTGCACAGCTGATGTATCGTATTCTCAGCCCATTTTTTAGGGAGGAACTTTGCAACTGTCATAACCTCAGCAATTCTGAGCTACCAGATCTTGTATTCACTTGTGATATAAATTCGTCATCCCCTGTCGTCCTCTGCATTCACCTCTCACACAATACTCAATCCCTAAGAGATTCCTCTTTTCCCAAGCAAGTTCTCCTGGGAGAAAGCTTTGGAGCTTGGTCGTTTTCTTTATTTTTAGCTTGGTTGAAAAACAAAATTAGCCCAAGTGAGGTTTGCTATGCCAGCCAACCTAAGACATTTCCCAGGGTGGCGTGCTTCTTAACCCACCCATTGTTCCCAGCTGACAAATGACGCCCTTGACAAAGTGTCGGCTCCAAATTACTTGAATCTCAAGCGTTTCTGGATGGCATCTGGCCAGACTAGCTTCTCTCACCGTCCTCAAACAAAATCACACAGACAGGAAGGAAATGATCACATTCTTAAGTTCCTTTTCCTCTTCTATTAGCTTCTTTTCAGATATACGAACCTGGAGAACAGGCTCATTCTTATCAAAGTGCACATCAACACAGTTACTTGTGGAATACACTCACATCCCCCCTGTCCCTATAAAGGTCATATGCCAGTACATCAGTCCCTTTTACTGGGGCGTGGGGCACTCTTAAAATGTCCCCGTGTAACTTACCCAACTAAAAGTACCACAGTCTGTGTCCAATGTTGATCAATGACACAAGCCCTTCCCATATGACCCAAGCTCATGATTTCAGAGAGCACACTGGTTCAGAAAAGAACCATCTCAAAAAAAGAAAGAAAGAAAGAAAAGAACCATCTCTTCACACCCAAAGAGAATTCCTTCTTATTCCTTCCTCCCTTCCAAATACTGGAATTTTTTGGGTAATATTTTATTTATTTATTTGAGAGAGAGAGAGGGAGAATGAGAAAGAGAGGGAGCCTGATGCGGGACTCGATCCCAGAACGGATTGAGTTGAGCCAAAGACAGATGCTTAACTGACTGAGCCACTGAGGCGCCCCCGCCAAGTACTGGAATTTTGATCAGCCTTATTCTCTAAGTGAGGTTACACCATGGGGCCTGAAGTAGAACTGTAAGGATAGAATTCGACTTTCTAGTTTCCCGGAAGAGAAATTTATGTTCAATTCACATAAGAATGTACAAATAGAAAAAGACTGAGATGCCTGAAAAGAATAAACTCAAGTTTATCGGATATGGGAATCAAACCGTTAAATAGTGGTTTAAAAAAGGCCACATGGTGTCAGGTAGGGGTGGAGAGCAGGAGGGGGAGGTCTTGACTGGTGCAGAGGTCCTCAGTCAGGAGGTAAGGGTGGGCTGCAGGGTGGAGTGCTGGGGGCCAAGTGAAAGGTGCTGGTGCCTGAGGTCAGAGACAGCGTCCTGATCCCAACAGAAGTGGGTGGAGGGGCAGGTACAAGGTAAGACACCCACAAGCTTCCCTCAGACATTCACTAGTCAGTGTTGATGTTATAAGGTAAAAATACCAACGGAATGACTGATACATTACTAGTCAAAAGGGCAACTCTGAACATATCTATTTAACTGAAATTTTTCCCACAACTGCTTCTATTTATCATCCAGACAAGTCTCTTTTAGCAGAGAAACATATGCTCTTAACACCGAGTTCCAACTCTTGGCTGGTTTGGAACGCCTTTTAATTTAAAGTAATTTATGATAAGGAATCTTCCTCCGGGCAAGGGCACTTAATCCAACTATACCTTTAGAGGCTTCTGTCCCCAGTGGGTTTTCTAAGAAGTCTGTCATGTCGTGGTTCCAGGCGTCTCGGACCGCAGACTTGGACACCACCCTGCCATTCAGCTCTTGCTGTGGTCGGAAGTTATTTCTCAGATACTCCACCGACTTGACGTGGTCTTGCTGCTCCGTGGTGAAGATGGAGTAAAAAGCCTCGAGCTAAACAGAGAACCAGAGAGGGGAGGGGGGAGAAAGAGACCAAGAATGAGAAAAGCGATGTGGGCCGGGGGATGGGGTGGGAGGTGGGGGGAGCCAAGGACACAAAATGGTAGGACGTGCCCCAAGCCGAGTGTGACGAACCCAGCAGGATGCAGGCTCCTTGCTGGAACCACTGCCCAGGGGCTTATCTGGCTGTGGTTTCTGTCCTGCCAGCGAACCGGGAGAACATTCCGCCGGAGGAGGCTTGTAGAGAATTCTTGGAGCCTGTGTCTCAGAAAAGAGTTCCAGTCTTTCTGCTCTGCCCCTGACAAGACTGTTCGTGTTCTGGGAAGAGCACAAGGTGATGGTGCAACTGGCAGGTTCCGGAGCCCAGAGTACCTGAATGGAAAGTCTAGCTCCACAGTTCACCCACTCCGGGGCTCTAGGAAGTGGCTTCCCTGCTCTGAGCCGCAACCTTCCTCAATAAAATGGTGCTAACAACAGCAGCATCGACCCCGGTAGGGATTGTGCCAGTACTCAATGAAATAATCCACGTGCAGGGCTTAAAACAGTCCCTGGCACAGAAGGGCTCAGTGAAGACGAGTGATTCAGTTCTTACTAAGCGTCTTCTTCCGTATGTAATAGGGATTCAGTTCAGCAAAGTTGCTAAGGCAGAAAGCTGATGGCTCGTGAGGTAAACTACTCAGTTTCAACACTTACCAGATGGGTAATCATAGTCAAACTATTCAAGCATCAGTAACTCAATACATATCAACATTTTATATATATATTATTTAAGACAGATATAATACTAGCCGCTATCTTATAAGATCATGGAAAAAGCTTATAAAATAAGATTATTTTCATCTTAAAAGATTAAAATGTATATAAACCATTTAGCAGCCATTAAGTCCATGGTTAGGATTAGCTGCGCTCATTATTATTCATACTATTAAAAAACACTTTCCAGAAGACTACAGACCCAACTTTTATGGAGATGCAAAAAAAAAAAAGAGATCAGGACTTCAGGATCATATTTCCATTATTAAAAAGGATTCTTTGTGGCCCTCCATCTTCTGCTCATTAAAAAACAACAACAACAACAAAAAACAAACCTAAGGAAAAAAAAAAAAAAACCAGAACACCACAGTAATGCTTTGATAGAAGGGAAATGAAGCTGAGGCTGGGCCAGAGATCTGTTCTCAGTGGACCACAAAGTTATCCTGGTCACCAAAGAAATAAAATTAATCTAAAATGACCAGCCATGGAACACACTACTTCCTTGAAGTGGGGGATGAAAAAGGAATGAAAAAGAGAGAAACTGAATAAATTCTTTCTGGCCCATTTGGCTCCTTGAATACCCAATCAGAATGCTTCCCAAGCAGCCACTGAGTGGCCACCCTAGGCTTTCAGGGACCATGGCCAACACCAACGTTAATTATACAGGAACATTACGACAGTGTTTCTTTTTTTTTTTAAACATTTTATTTATTTATTTGAGAGACTGCGATCACAAGCAGGCAGAGAAGCAGGCAGACAGAGAGAGGAGGAAGCAGGCTCCCTGCTGAGCAGAGAGCCTGATGCCCCAGGACCCTGGGATCATGACCTGAGCTGAAGGCAGAGGCTTTAACCCACTGAGCCACCCAGGCGCCCCTCTTTCTTTCTTTTTTATAAGTAGGCTCCACGCTCAATGTGCAGCTTGAACTCAGGACCCTCAGATCAAGAGTTGGATTGTCACCAACTGAGCCCATCAAGAGCCTCCCAACCTGGGTTTCTGGATGGTCATCTTGAAGCCTGGAACTAACGCCAGTGTTTCTCAAACAGCTTCAGACAATGTCACAAAAATTGATCTGCTTGATCTGAAACTCCCTCTCTTTGCATGAGAAAGCAATGAATGTGCATAGTGATCACAGCCAAGAAAAATCATTTAACTACCTGGATTCACCTATCATTTCACCTCCCCTGCAATTCTCCTGCAAATGTAAAGTGATAACGAACCATGAAACCTTTTCTGCTTTTTCATCAAGGTAACAGATCCAGAGTATCTCTCAACCCAGCCTAAAAGCAAAAGTAGTCTGGTCCTGTGGTGTTACTCCAGTTCTCCAGCAGTCTCCTAACTTCTAACAATTCCTGCAGTGGCTATTGAAAATTGTCTTTCTTCCCATTCTTCTTTGTGATGTTCCTTCTTTATTTATAGTGAAGAGAGAAAGGCCATAAAAGCAGAAAAATTAAGAAAACTGGACTGTTTACTCTGCCAAATATGGCCCACTCAGATGAAGATAATTGGAGGTATTGAAGGAAATCCAGTCTCCTCAACCTGGCAATGTGTACTCACTCCAACTCGGAACTGAACACATCCACACATGAGAGAAGGTTTCAGAGTTTCCTGACAGAAAATAACTTCTTAAGATTACATGGAAGGAATTAACAAAGACTCTGGAGACCGTCTAGGGAAAGACCAACCAAAGTGATTACAGGGACAGAGGCTAAATCCCGTGTGTAAAGGTGAAGGGAAGTGGGAAGTGTTTAGCCTGAAGAAAAGGCAGGTTAGGAGTAATTTGATTAAGGGCCCTTGTATGTGGAACATGCTGACCAGCTCTTCTCCATGTCCAGAGAAGGCCAAAGAGAGGAAACTGGTTTAAATTAAAGCCTTAGAGACGTGAGTTGAATAGAAATAATTCCTTAACTTTCAGGGTGATTTTTTTTTCTTTAAAACGGCCAGGCTGCTATACATAGCAAGTTAGAACGGAAATATTCTGGAAGAGCAGCCATCTGTCCTGAAATAGTTTAATCTCCGAGATGCCAGAAAAGGATGGCCTTGGAGACTGTCTCGGCAATCCGACTCTAAGGTTTGTTTATTCTCTAGAAGACTTGCTTCTTTCACAGCTAGCATTTAGTTCTCCTAAAAAGTTTCATTTCTGATGCCTCAGGAAAGAATTAGTCATATAACTGTAAAAAGAGGCAGGTTCTGAATTTAACACAAAAATGCTTTTGCTTAAATTGCTCTTACAGCTTAATGACATGCTATGGCTTAAAAGCTCGGCTGCTTCCTTGTCATTAACTCAACTTGCCCAGAGATTTCCAAGGAAGGATGTGACGGTTTTCAGAGTGAACTGATGACCTGGACGATATTATATTGTCAACTGGATCATAGCTTCGCTTGACAGTCATACAAAAGAGGAAAAGGAGGTCAAGCTTAGCAGACTCATCCAATGTCCTTCAGTATGCTGGCAGTGTTCACTAAAACCCTGTCATTCCTCTAAGTTGAATGAAAATTGCCAGTGGTCTCTGTCGCTGGTGCCTTGCATGTCTGGCCATTGAGTGGAAACCACCATGATGCCTGGATTGGCCAAGGGAGTCTACGTTTGCACTCTGGCAGGTGAAGAGTGATACTCTGGACATAGCTACTCCCTTTTGTCCCTTGATCCTTACCCTTTCCTTGTAACCACACTTGATAAAGGTGAATCCGACCACCACCCAGATCTCTACTTTTTGATTCCAATGGATGCCATTTATAAAGACTACAACGAGAAGGTGCCCCCTAGAGTTGTGCAGGTCTAGCAGCACTGCCTAACTCTGCAGCCACAGGACAAGCTGTCAACCCTTCTAGATCTGCTTAATAGCCACACAGCTATTTCCTTAAAATGTACATGAGCTGCCATCAGGCCTCTGTTCAAAAACTTTCAAGAGCCTCCAATTCTACTGGTGGGGCCCTAAGGATCCAGCCTGTGCCCAATTCTCCAACCTTGTAACACTTACTCTTGCTACCTGGGTTTAAAACCCTGTTTCCAATCCCCACTTGCTAAGTGTGTAACCACGGTCAAAGTATTTGATGCTTCTGTGCTTTGGTTTTCTTACTTGTACAATAGCAATAATACCAATTGTGGTTTTTGCTACTATTAAATGAGATACTATACATAATGCATTTGGAATAATTTCTGGCACACAGTAGATATTCACTAAGTATTATAAACATTACTATTCTTCTTCTTCTATGAGAAATGTAACTGTGATTGTACTATAAACTTCCAACAACTCTAAGATGCTCTCTCTGCTTCTCCCTCCTTTCCTCCTTGGAATGTGTATTTATCAAACGCATTCTGTGACAGGTACTTTATGGTATATATGGTACTTTATGGAATTCACAAACATTACTTTGGTTTCTCACTTGTTTTAGTTTAAAATAATAACATTAGAGTAACACTGTTAACACTATTATTATATCATTAACACCAACAGCTAATATTTACTGAGCGTTTACTCCAGGCATTGTGTTAAGAGTGTTAGGAACTTTCCTTTACTTCCTCACAGAAGTCTCATAAAGTTGGTGGTATTATCATATCATTATTTGTGACTGAGGAGGAAAATGGGCTTAGAGACTTGACATGACCTGCTTAAGATCACAGAGGAAACAAGAGATGACGTGACCGGGGTGCCTGGTTGAGCGTCCTACTCTTGGTTTTGGCTTGGGTCGTGATCTTAAAGTTGTGGAATCAAGCCCCTCCATCAGGCTCCAAGCCCAGCTCAGAGTCTGCTTGGGATTCTCGCTCTTCCTTTCCCTCTGCCCCTCCCCCTGCTCATGCATACTCTCCCCTCACCCTGTTGAAGTGAGGATTAGAAACCTAGGTCTGTATGACTGTCATACTCTCAGCCACTTCATGTCACATGCATAATAGGCCTGCAGCATTATTCATGGAAAGAGTAACATCACAGTGGAGTTACTGAATGTGATAACAGAAGTCCCCAAAGAGTTCCTTCTAGCTGACCCTGAAAGGCCACTAATGCGGGGCACCCACCATTGGCAATATAAAACTATTTGCACTTTTCCGCACTCTGGACAGAAACAGCTTATGGCTCAATGAAGAAGGAACTGGGAACCAGGAACAAGATGGCGGGCACAAGGAGGAAAAGCTATGCACCACAAAAAGCCCACACTTATTCACCTATCCTTTTCCAGAGGCAAGTAATAAACACACTGGATTTATCTTTACTTTAACATAACTAATGAAGTCTTTATCATT